GACTGCAGCCATGAAATTAAAAGACACTTGCTCCTTGGAAGAACAGTATAACCAACTTAGCATAATAAAAAGCAGAGGCATTACTTTGCCAACAAAGGTCCGTCTAATCAAAGTTATGGTTTTTCCAGTAGTCATGTATGGATGTGAGATTTGGACTATAAAGAAAGTTGAGTGCTGAAGAACTGATGCTTTTGAACTGTGGTATTGGAGAAGACTTTTGAGAATCCCTTGGGCTTCAAGGAGATCAAACCAGTCCAATCTAAAGGAGATCAGTCCTGGGTGTTCACTGGAAGGACTGATGCTGAAGCTGAAACTCCAATACTTTGGGCACCTGATGGGAAGAGCTGACACATTTGAAAAGACCCTGATGCTGGGAAAGATTTAAGGCAGGAGGAGAAGTGGTGACAGAAGATGAGATGGTTGGATGGCATCACCGACTCAATGGACTCAGAGTAAACTCCGGGAGTTGGCCATGGACAGGGAGGCCTAGCGTGCTGCAGACCATGGGGTCACAAAGAGTCGGGCAGGACAGAGAGACTGATCTGAGCTGAACTGAATCTGTTACATGAGAGAGAAATTAATTTCTGTTTGTGAATCATGGAATGTTATTTTTTCCATCAGTTTGGCCTGAACTATCCGTTACTTCTTCTACAAAGGAATAAACTTTGGTGTGTATAAGAAAATGCTAGAAAACAAGTATTCATGAAATAGTGAGCCTGAAGAAAGGTTTCAATAAATTATTTCTGAGAATTAGACTGTGATCAACTTCTCAATGGCCTTATCAATCCTTTCAATTACCTCTAATATGAAATTTTTCAGAGGAAAGTAAATTAATTTGGCTTTCTTTTTTAAAAGAGAACTTTGTTGCAAGCAAAATTGATTCCAGAGGATCAAATGCAAACAGAAACACAGTAACAAAACTATTTAAATCATCTAGTTGAGAGACTGAGAAAGGTGTGCTCCATGGAAAGTCTAAAAAGCATTTAGTTATATATTTGATATATGTAATTACTGGTAATAATATTCAAATACTCATTAAACATGTAATCATTAAAGACTGCCTGTGTTTCACCAGCATGTCAAAAACTGGATAAATAATGATGAATAAGACATGATCCCTAAATTTATTGATGACTATAAATAATACATTATAGATATATAATTTGAAATTGGAATAAGTGCTACAAAGAGATACACGGTAGGATGTTTGGGGGATGAAAAGAGAATTCACTTAATTTTAATTATGCCTCAATAAGGAAACACTTGACCTAATATGTAAAATATAAACAGTGATCTTGAAACTGATCTCCGGTGGAAAAGCAATCCAAGTCCTGGGCACTGTCAAATGGTTCAACGTGCGCAATGGTTACGGATTCATCAACAGGAATGACACCAAGGAGGATGTCTTTGTTCACCAGACCACTATTAAGAGAAACAACCCCAGGAAGTTTCTGCACAGCGTTGGGGATGGGGAGACCGTCGTGGAAGGAGAGAAGGGCGCAGAAGCTGCTAACGTAACTGGGCCTGGGGGGGTGCCAGTGAAGGGCAGCCGCTATGCCCCCAACCGACGCAGGTTCTGCCGATTCATCCCCCGGCCCCGCCCAGCTGCCCCGCCACCCATGGTGGCAGAGGCTCCATCGGGCAGAACAGAGCCAGGCAGCGAAGGGGAGTGTGCCAAAGATTCCAGGCAGCGGCCCAGACGACGGCGCCCACCACCCTTCTTCTACCGACGGCGCTTCATGCGAGGCCCTCGGCCCCCCAACCAGCAGCAGCCCATAAGAGGGCACAGACGGGGTAGAACCCAAGAAGACAGCCCCATTGGAGGGAGACCAGCAGCAGGGGGATGAGCGGATACCCCCACCCAGATTCCAGCCCAGGTACCGAAGGCCTTTCCACCCCAGGCTACCCCAGCAGCCCACCACAGAAGGTGGGGATGGCAAGACCAAGCCCAGCTAAGGCCCCACTGACGGCTCCCAACCTGAGCCCCGGCACCCACGAACCCGTCCCTACTTCCAGTGGAGACAGCAGCAGCACCCANCCAGCAGCCCACCACAGAAGGTGGGGATGGCAAGACCAAGCCCAGCTAAGGCCCCACTGACGGCTCCCAACCTGAGCCCCGGCACCCACGAACCCGTCCCTACTTCCAGTGGAGACAGCAGCAGCACCCAGGACCCAGGCAGTCCACAGCTCCAGAGACCTCAGCCCCCATCAGCAGTGGGGACCCCCCAACCACCATACTGGAGTGATTACAACTCAAAGGACACCCAGAGCCACCATCTGGTATCTGCCAGTTTTTCCAACTGACCTGTAGCCTACCCAGCACCTCCCTCCCCTCTTTCCCATAATTCATGACATCAAAACACCGGCTTTCCCCCCCATTCCTTGAGACTCAGGAGGGCCAAAGCAACAGCCTTTTGCTTTTTTTTCTTTTCCACAACAGCAAAGAGTTGTGGAGAACTCTGGGTAGAGGAATGAACAAATGGTGTGCAGTGGGAACAAGTGTAACAATACATGACATGCAATGGGAAAGAACTGTATTATAGTAAGGCAAAAACTGTAAAGACATAATATGATAAAAACAACAACATTTCTAGTATATACCCAATAAATTAAATTAAACAATGTATAAAATATTAAAGACTATGCCTATAGGATATCTGTATAGCCAGAATGATTTAGAAATCAGGAAGACAATATTTTGAGTAGCTATCATTACCAAATACAGCTTTGCTTTCTCTATAGAATGACAATTATAGCACAAAATTCAAATGCATTATGATGAGCGGATATATCCTGAAATTTCTCCATTCTCTGACATGTTTCCACATAACTTGTCTTATTGGTGAATCTAATTAATGATGCCTTTCAACTAAGATTATAACCTATTTCACTGCTAAGTGTCATTAAATTATGAAATATGTCCTAACAATTCCTAGGAATGTTCTTCTTCCAAACTTCTAATTTTCCTTTGTACCCTTGGATCTCATGTGCCATGGAAAAAAGGCTGTACCTTCTTTCTGTGTATGGAAGGATTAAAATCATTAAAAAATACCAAAGATATGAGGCAGATTAGCAAGTCTGAATGTCAAATTTACATCTTTAAAGAGTTGGAATCAAACTGGACTTTTCAGAAATACCCAAGTTTGTTCTGTACTTGAAAACTCACAACTGGACTTTTTCCCTTGAAAAACATCATACTTTAATTTGAATTAACATTTGTTTAAAATCAGTTTTATATTATTACCTAATAGGAGAAAAATTGATTTTAATACTGTGACAACATATTTAGTTTATGTGACTCATTTTTTTCATGCCACATCTTTCTTATTAATAAGAAAGTAGTGTTTGATTTACATGTTGGTATTGACAGTCTTAATTTGGTACAAGCTACTGCCATTAAAACATGTCCTTACACATGGCTGAAAGTCAGTTCACATCTCACCCCTCTTAGTTATACAGCTCACTGATAGCTGTGTTTGCTGGCAATGGATTTTTTAAAAAATTAAAAAAGACTTCTTACTTCATATCACCATTATGGTAAAATAATGAATTTTTTGTTGTTGTTCAGTGGCTACGGCCTGTCTAACCCTTTTTTGACCTCGTGGACTATAGCCTACCAGGCTCCTCTCTTCATGGGGTTTTCCAGGCAAGAACACTGGAGTAGGTAGCCATTTACTACTCCAGGGGATCTTCCCCACCCAGAGATCAAACCTGAGTCTCCTGCATTGCAGGTGGATTATTTACTGCTGAATCACCAGGGAAGCCCAAAGTAATGAAGACAAATACCTATACTCACAACATGCGGACATTTAAGTTACAATTTAACAGACATTTTACTGGTTTTACTTGCTCAAAATTGTTCTTTCATATTTTTGTCCATCTCCTGACTATGCCCAGGTATAGTGCCATTGCAAAGTATCTCATGAACTTCCTTCTTACAGCAGATTCACCTGACACTTCTAATCATCATGCTCAGCATTGTTTTTCACAAATGTCAGGGCAAAGGTATATATATGTTTACATGTTAATATGTTGGTCTGCGAAAATCAAAGTGCTACTTTACAAGAACAAAGCACTGCAAAACTCTAACGTTTGTATTTAAAGTATTATACAACTGCTTCTGTCAACTTTTTTATTCAAGTCTTTCAATAATCCTCTTATTGTTAATTTATTTTGTTTAATATTTTAGGTGTAAATGCTGATTAAGTTTGGATGCTTTCATTGCTTCACCAGCCGGAAGAAAGAAAGAAAGAAAGTGAAGTTGCTCAGTCCTGTCCGACTCTTTGCAACCCCATGGAATGTAGCCTACCAGGTTCCTCTGTCCATGGGATTTCCCAGGCAAGAATACTGGAGTGGGTTGCCATTTCCTTCTCCAGGAGATCTTCCCGACCCAGAGATTGAACCCAGGTCTNTATTATCCAGGCAAGAATACTGGAGTGGGTTGCCATTTCCTTCTCCAGGAGATCTTCCCGACCCAGAGATTGAACCCAGGTCACTAGCCAGTAAATCTCTGCAAATAACACATTAGATTTTAATGCTCTAGCAAGTTTTAGCAAGAAAACTGACCTCTATACTAATGAAGCCAGAACAGATATTTTCAGAGTTCTTTCCAATATTACCATTTTGGTTTAACAATATTACTATTTAGTTTAATAATATTGCACAGAATAATTATATCTTTTCAGGAAAAAAATTTTAGAGAAGCTTGTGTCACCATCTCCAAACTGGGGCTAAAATACACATTTCAATTTCCTCTTTAATAATGTTAAATGATAAAATTTTAAAATATATTTTATTAAAATTTATTATTAAACTAGTATTTCTTGCAAAACATGATTAGCAGAATGCCACCATTTTATATGTAATCTAGAAATATATCAGAGAATGGAGAAGCTTCAGGGTATATCTACTGATCATAATGCATTTAAGCAGTGTGATGATGGTTGTTCTGTCCAAATTAGGTCACTTTCCTCTGAAGATTTTCTTACTGAATGTAATTGAAATGATTGACAAGGCCATTCATAAGTTGATTTTAACATACCTTCAATGTGCTCACTTTCAGTGATCAACAGGTACTTTTTTTGGTAACTATTTTTTATGCCACACTTATTTGTATCTATTGAAATATACTTTTATCTCTGCTAAATCTAATAATTGTAACATGACATGTTTTATATATTTTATGTTCATTGTTTAGAATTTCTTTTTTTTTTTTTTTGGATTTTTCAAAAGTATTTGCTTATGACACATTGGGGGAAATAGTCCTTTACTGTATATGGTTTTAGGAGCATTGAGATAATTTATATTCCTACTCTACTTTCTTCCTGTAGTTTATGACTTTCAAAACACTTTTGTTTTAAAGTTCATTTGTATTTTCCTTTCCAGATGTAAAGTTCTTCAGGAAATTATATACAACTGTTTCTGGATCATAGTAGAAGCCTTATACATAGCATAAAAATCAGTAAGTAAATAACTGTGGTATTTATAACAGCACGATCACTCATATAGTATAACCCTTTGACAACACAATATTCTTGTTCTTAAACTAAGTCATAATAAACATATTCTACTACTTGATAATATTAGAACTGACAGGAAAGTCACTGGATCACAGTAACTCATATATATACATAAAATGATTCTCCAAAACACCAATGGTGTTTATCATGTTAACTTCCGGCTACTATGACTTTCAGTGACTTATTTTGTTCCTAGTGCTCTGCTGTATACATATATATTTCCTGTTATTCTATAATATACAGGTGATAATTTAGCAATAATTACTCTAAGCTCAGGGCTTCCCAGGTGGCACAAGTGGTTAAAGACCCCTCTGCCAATATTCTTCTGAAACGTAAGAGATGTGGTTTCAATCCCAGAGTTGGGAAGATCCCTGGAGGAGGTCATGGCAACCCACTCCAGTGTTCTTGCCTGGAGAATCCCATGTATAGAGGAGCCTGGCGGGCTACAGCCCATACAGTTGCAAAGAGTCAGACACAATAGAGCAGCTTAGTATGCACGTACTCTAAGTTCAATGCAATATAGTCACAGTGTCCACTTAAACTTGACATTTATCTTTATGTTGCATATATTTTATTTAATAATTATTTAAGATATTAGTAAGATACAAGTGTAGGTTCCTCAAGTGGTTTGTGTAAGAACCCCAATTAAATAAAACAAAAAAATTATGCTTTTTAATTCATTGCTTATTCAACAAATATTTACTGATTACCTATTATATGTCAGGAATGTCAAAAGTATTACATATGTAGCAAATAAGTAAAACAGGTATAAATCTTTGCCCATAAATGCCTTATTTTCTAGGTAGAAGAAAGAGCCCAACACTCAGAGTAATTCTTTCCAAAATTATCAGATAAAGAACAACAAGTTCACATAACACATTTAGATAATCATCTTGCTGCATATGTTCACCATTTAAAATATCAGCTTCTTTGGTCTCTTATAATATACAAAAATAGCAAACTGTCATTTGAAGTATATCTTTCTTCACAATTACAATTATTCCTCTACCATGAAGGTTAAATTCACTACAGCACATTTCTTAAAATAGAAAACAGTGCATTGAGTTTATCTACCATCTCATCCATTATACTTATGTAGTATTTAAAGAAAAAATTCATATGCAATGTCCACAGAAGATAGCAGTATGTATACCTTTTAGATATTCAAGAAATGTAATTATTATAACCTTAACAAAGGATTCTTCAGTGTTATATATTCCAACTAGTTTAGTCATTTCATACCCTAATACTTTCCCCCCCACAGATGCTACTTTATTGTTTTAAAGTAGTTGATTTATAAAACTGTCATCAACATAGTGCAAATTAATGATTCCAGCAAAACACATTTGTGATATCTTAGGTATGTGACAGGCAATTAAAAAAAATTGTTTTGTCTAAAATGTTAAATGACATAAAAGCCATACAGTAAAGTATTGAATAATTTAAGTAAATCAATGTTTTCTGAATTTTGTAGGAGTACAAACTGTCTTGGGTGCTAAGGTAAATCAATATAATAAAATAAAAATGAAGTGGTTTATAATGATGAATGCATGGGTTGATAATAACCAGAGGTAGAATCTCATTTAGCCATTGTAACAAACTACTTCCAGGCATCTTTTGTGCACTATTCCCATCAGAAAACATGGTATTATATAGTCAATTGATTTTAGCACTTAAATAGCTTTTCATTTGAAAGACACCCAGCCTCAGTATAAACTAAACCTTTCACTGAGTGTCATTAGTTATGGCTTGATTTAGAATGATAATACATATTTACTACCATTAGAACTATTTTATGCGCTTTATGTGGTTTGTAAATAACATTATATTTATGAAGACATGAGAAATGTTCATTTGTTGTGCTCCTATATATTTGTAGAATTTAGGATTTAGCATTTTAGTGCTTTTACTGATCTCTCTTTACTCTCATTCTCAATGGTAAATCAAAAGGAAAATATATTTAATTTCACATAGCTAGTTCTATATACAATTTTTAGTTTCCCATTTTGTTTACAAAATGAAGTGTGGTATTATATGTGTATGTAAGGACATGTTTTTCCTATATTATGTCTTTTGCGGTTTACAAGTTTAAGATATAATGAAATCTTCAGAACTTTACTACAGGAAAAAAAAAAAAACAATGTATACATAAACACAAAGTTATTCAAAATTTAAGAGAATTCAGATTTACCCTGAATTCCTTTCACATTCACCCACCAAGGGCAAAAATTAAAACAATGAAAACTGCACTACTGTTTACGGTAGTGCACTTACAATTAGCACTACTGAAAATGTTAACATCAATGTTGTAGCACTGATGAACGTAGATAATTGCTAAAATAAATACTTCACTCCTTATCCCCTTTCTAAAAATACAGAAGAAGATCATCCCACAGAAAAGGCCAGAGACACTAGAAAATCACCCAGGAAATACAGGTGGAGAAAAGAGAAATTCTTTCTGAAGTGACAGCCCCAAAGTAGACAAAGATCTAATTCAGATTATAGAAAAGGAGAAATATATAATTGTCTCTCATTCACTCTTGATAGTAAATCATGGAGTATCAGGTATGGACCATATAGTCAAACTGTCTGGGGCTGAGTCAATTATTTTGCCTTGTGAACTTGGTAAAATTATTTGGATTCTGATACTTTCATCTTTGGAGAAAAGGAAAGATACACCCATTTGAATGCAGAGTTCCAAGAATAGCAAGGAGAGACAAGAAAGCCTTCCTCAGTGATCACTGCAAAAAAACAGAGGAAAACAATAGAATGGGAAAGACTAGAGATCTCTTCAAGAAAAAAGGGAACATTTCATGCAAAGATGGGCACAAGAAAGGACAGAAATGGTATGGACCAAACAGAAACAGAAGATATTAAGAGGGGGCAAAAATACACAGAACTATGCAAACAAGATCTTCACAACCCAGATAATCACGATGGGGTGATCACTGACCTAGAGCCAGACATCCTGGAATGCAAAGTCAAGTGGGTCTTAGGAAGCATCACTATGAACAAAGCTAGTGGTGGTGATGAAATTCCAGCTGAGCTATTTCAAATTGGAAAAGTTGATGCTGTGAAAGTGCTGCACTCAATATGCCAGCAAATTTGGAAAACTCAGCAGTGGCCACAGGACTGGAAAAGGTCACTTTTCATTCCAATCCCTAAGAAAGGCAATGCCAAAGAATGCTCAAACTACCGCACAATTGTGCTCATCTCACATGCTAGCAAAGTAATGCTCAAAATTCTCCAAGCCAGGCTTCAGCAATATGTGAACCATGAACTTCCAAATGTTCAACCTGGATTTAGAAAAGGCAGAGGAACCAGAGATCAAATTGCCAACATCCGCTGAATCACTGGAAAAGCAAGAGAGTTCCAGAAAAACATCTATTTCTGCTTTATTGACTATGCCAAAGCCTTTGACTGTGTGGATCACAATAAACTGTGGAAAATTCTGAAAGAGATGGGAATACCAGACCACCTGACCTGCCTCTTGAGAAACCTGTATGCAGGTCAGGAAGCAACAGTTAGAACTGGACATGGAACAACAGACTGGTTCCAAATAGGAAAAGGAGTACGTCAAGGCTGTATATTGTCACCCTGCTTATTTAACTTATATGCAGAGTACATCATGAGAAATGCTGGGCTGGAAGAAGCACAAGCTGGAATCAAGATTGCCGGGAGAAATATCAATAACCTCAGATATGCAGATGACACCACCCTTATGGCAGAAAGTGAAGAAGAACTAAAGAGCCTCTTGATGAAAGTGAAAGAGGAGAGTGAAAAAGTTGGCTTAAAGCTCAACATTCAGAAAACTAAGATCATGGCATCTGGTCCCATCACTTCATGGGAAATAGATGGGGAAACAGTGGAAACAGTGTCAGACTTTATTTTTGGGGGCTCCAAAATCACTGCAGATGGTGATTGCAGCCATGAAATTAAAAGACGCTTACTCCTTGGAAGGAAAGTTATGACCAACCTAGACAGCATATTAAAAAGCAGAGACATTACTTTGCCAACAAAGGTCCGTCTAGTCAAGGCTATGGTTTTTCCAGTGGTCATGTATGGATGTGAGAGTTGGACCATAAAGAAAGCTGAGTGCCAAAGAATTGATGCTTTTGAACTGTGGTGTTGGAGAAGACTCTTGAGAGTCCCTTGGACTTCAAGGAGATCCAACCAGTCCATCCTAAAGGAGATCAGCCCTGGGTGTTCATTGGAAGGACTGATGTTGAAACTGAAATTCCAATACTTTGGCCACCTGATGGGAAGAGATGACTTATTTGAAAAGACCCTAATGCTGAGAAAGATTGAGGGCAGGAGGAGAAGGGGATGATAGAGGATGAGATGGTTGGATGGCATCACTGACTCGATCGACATGGGTTTGAGTGGACTCTGGAAGTTGGTGATGGACAGGGAGGCCTGGCGTGCTGTGGTTCATGGGGTTGCAAATAGTTGGACATGACTGAGCGACTGAACTGAAACTGAACTGACTATCATCTTTGGACTTCACAGGTGGCTTGGTGGTAAAGAATCTGCCTGACAATGCAGGAAATGCAGGTTCAATCCCTGGGTTGGGAAGATTTCCCTGGAGTAGGGAATGGCAACTCACTCTAGTGTCCTGTTGGGAAATCCCATGGGCAGAGAAGCCTGGCAGGCTACAGTTCATGTGGTCACAAAGAACTAGACAAGACTGAATGACTGAGCGTGCACACATTATCCTCTTCTACAAATTGGGAATAATAATAGGATTTATTTCAAAGAACTGATACAAGGTTGAAATGGTTAATTCTGTACAAGGTGCTTCAGTTTCCCAGGTGGCACTAGTAATGAAGAATCTGCCTGGAAATCTCACAGACAGAGGAACCTGGCAGGCTACAGTCTGTAGTGTTGCAAAGAATCAGACACATCCGAAGTGACATAGCACATACAAGGTGCTTAGCAGAATGCCTGGCCTAAACTCTGGAGATGCTCTTATTTTTGTAGCACCATTGTTTGCTTTGAGAATTGCTCTGAACTAAAATGCGGCAAATTTTGGGAAAAGATAAAAGCTCTGAGATGCTTGTTTGGAGGGGCAAGCAGGTTAATTAGACTCTTGACCCCTCACTTACTTTTACTGAACAAAAGGCAAGAGAAACATCTGGCTAGTGGAAGAGCAGAGAATGTGGGCCTTTTGGACAGAAAGCAGGAATAAATCCTGAGATGAAGGAAAAGTTTCCATGTCCATGATCACAGTCAGCCTCTGGCAAAGTATGTCACCAATGACACATCATCATTTAGGCAGGTACAGAAAGCTTACATAGTGCTCATGAAACAGGCCAACAGGAAATGAGAGAGTCAGGCCTCCATAAGATAACAGACTAGATTTTCAAAATGAAAACTTTTGTTGTGAGGAAAAATAAAAATCTCAGTAATGAGCTGAACTGCAGGGGCAAGAATAATAAGAGGCATTCACTGAGCAGAAACGGGATAATTTTCCCACAGGAAAAGGCAATGTTTATAGAGAGAGAAACTTTGAAAGAGGAGCTATTAGGTATAGAAGAAAAGGAATATAAAGGTATAGTAGATATAAAACAGAAGACAGAGACAAGAACATTGAAAAGGAGGAAAGTGTTAACTCATATTTTTTTTAACTATACAGAGAAAACTTACAATGTTGACTAAACTAGACTCTGCAGGAGAGGTCAACGTTTCTGTACAGTCTTCTCAAGTGATGACTCTTCTCCATACATCTGAAAAGATCTTGAACCACTGACTGTAGATATAGGATAGGTATCTTTCCTGCTCTTCATCAGCTCACAGAAGCCATTTCCTTCCAGACTTCCCTAAAACTTTAAAACTTTAATCGTTACTTTGCATTACCAATTATGAAACTCATTGATGTCACTTCCCAGTACCTGGCTACTTCACCCTTGCACATGCATGTGTGCTCAGTCATGTCCAACTCTTTGCAACCCAGTAGACTGGAGCTTACCAGGCTACTCTGTCCATGGGATTTCCAAATACTGGAGTGGGTTCCCATTTCCTCCTCCAGGGGATCTTCCCAACCCAGAGATCAAACCAATGTCTCTTGCATCTCCTGCATTGGCAGGCCGATTCTTTACCACTGAACCACCTGGGAAGCCCCAATTCACCCTTATTTATTGACTGTTTCAGTTTCTAATTCACTGTCATTGTCCTTATAAGCCACCTGTCTTAACTTACAATGTCACTGTGTTTGCAGATAATGGTTCCAACACCCTAACTACTCACATCCTTGAGTGTTCTCCCCCACTGCTCTTATTCTTTACATAAGAAATTAACCAGATTTTGTCATTTCAAATATCTGCATACCTTTCATGATTTCAATTTTATGTATCCCATTATAACCACTGCTGACTGGTATTGGAAATCACATCCTGCAAAATTCAGACTCCAACAACCCCTCGACCCATAGGAACTGCAAATTGTGTTGCATTTCACTGTCTCTCACCCATTTAGAGTTCTCTCGTCCTTTAGTCAGCTTAAAATACTATGGTCAGTCAAAATAATGTTTCTTTCACAAAATTTCCTGACTCTCCTTTTTCTCACTGTTTAAACTCACTTTGCAAAACCATAATTTTTGGCTTAAACCCAGCTGTTGATGTTTAGTCACTAAGTTGTACCCAACTCTTGTGACTCCATGGACTGTAGTCCACCAGACTCCTTTATTCCTGGGATTTCCCAGGCAAGAACACTGGAGTGAGTTGCCATTTCCTTCTTCAGGGGATCTTCCTGACCCAGGAATGGAATCTTTGTTTCCTACACTGGCAGGTTCTTTACCACTGAGCCACCTGGGAAACTCTAAACCCAACTGTCAACCTCTGTTTCTGCATGGATGCATCTGACCAGCCTCCCTGTGATGAAGGCACACACCCTTAGGCTACTCAACAGTCATACTTCTCCAGGTCTTCCATCTTATATTCTTCTAGATGCGTCTTTATATCTTTTCTCTCCTTAAATTTCTAGCTCTCTTCTCTTCTCCCTAATGTCAGGGAATGTCCTGATTTACCCTTTGCTGGTGTAACTGCAACATTAGGAAAGATGTTCTACAGACTCCCACAACTACATGCACCCACCTTTCAGGATCTGCATCCCCTGTCCTGCCTCTCCAACTGTTATCTTCATAAACTGCCAATGTTATCATGCCAAGTCAACCCTCCCTTTATTTTCTAGGCACAATCATCTTGCCACTTATGTATACGGCTCTAACAGTTTTCTGTTCTCAGTGATTTTACATTTTGTGTTGCTTTCTTCTCAGGAGCATAAAAATATATTGCTTTTCACGTACAAAGAAACAAAACAATATGAAATGAAAAACACCACAAACTTGCTTAACACCATTTCTCCCAAACAGCCACCACACATGTTATTTTCTCTCCCCTGCAAAATGTTTTCTCATTTCTATTAAATTCACTCAAATATTGGCTCATTCTCACAGATCCACTAAAATATAAATACAAAGTTAGTCAAGGAGCATTTCACAACATCTTCTTTGAAAAAAATTTATGAGCTGGTAATTACCTAATAAGTAGGTTGAAAGTCTGAAGGAGGAGTACACATGAGGAAGAAGTTTTGACATCGAAATAATCTGTCTCATTCATCATATAAGGTTAGGACGATTGGGAAGCAAATTACTTGATTTATGTCATACATTGAAACAAAGAATAATGACATTTGGGTATTTACTTATTTATTGTACATTGTTTCTTAGGCCCTTTGGAGAAAATATTGTGGGCACATTATGAAAACAAGCTAAGTAGTAACATGAATTCCTCAATTAATTAAATTATACCCAAGTAGGCAGGTGCATATGTATGTGTGCATACAGAGACATAAAAAATAGTTCTAAATAGTGATCAATAAATTATCACATGAGGTCAATGTATTTAAAATATGCAACAAATAATATTTTATATATAAACACAAAACCATATCTACAGTGTACACATACTCCTCTCAGCTGCTACACTGCTCAGTTGCTTTGCGGTTTCCAATGACCTAAGCAGTCTTTCAGTGTCTAGAGATTTATTAACGTAAAGCCATCAATCAGGTCCTAGTATTATTTGAGAATGAAAAACATAGGTCCAAATCACATTTATTTACATATAAAGAACACTGTGCTTTTCACATTGTTATAATCATGGGAAAGAGTGTGATATAATCAGTCATTTTAACTTTGCTCTTTTTCTCAAATTATTCAGAGAATCTAACATTTTCTAACTTTGGAACAGAAAATACACTGACTATTTTAATATTAAACATTTGAAAAATGGCAAAAATAAAAGAAAAAATAATGAATCAATAACTTTATTATTTTTAATCTTATTAGAGATGAAAAGAAAGTATAACTTATTAAAATATCTGTGTCTTCCTAAATAGCTTGTGAGTTGGGAATCATCCTGGTAAGTATTCTCATTTTTAAAGCTCTAGTCTTTATTAACATCTGTGTACATTTTTTGAGGTTTTTAATGGGGGTGGATTGAGAACACATTTTAAATTTCATTTCTCCCCCAAATCCCATCAAAATTACAATTATTATGTAAAAAATAGCACACTTCTAATAGCACTGGTTATTGGAATACAGGTATTGAACAGAGATTAGGAAGACAGAAAATGTCTATGGTAATTAATAAAATGACTATCATATATACCATTCAGTCTTTTAATTGAAAGGCACATTGAGTTCCCTGACCTAGACACAGAGACGTGTTGAAAATTTCAATGAAAAATACATAATTTGAAAAATAATCTATATGATAAAAATACAGGTTATCTACTGAGTAATAAAAATCTAAAAAATATCAAACTTGTCATTGACAATATAGCTTGCTAAAATCAGTGTTGACTGGTAAATAAATATTCAACAACTGGCCCAATTTTAGCTTCCTGTGGTCTGAGAGAGATCTTGAAGGACAAACCAAAAAAACCAGTACAAAGAAGGTGAAAGTGCTCAGGTTAATCTTTATGTCCAGATGGATGCTCTGTTTGGGGTAATTTGTGCAGGAAATTGACAAAAAGCAACAAGACTGAAAGCCTACATTTCTTTTTCATTTCTGAAAATGTATTGTTAAAGAGACTATGCCTTAGCCTGCAGAAGCCTGTGACATCTCTATCCCAAAATGCACCAACAAAAATTGAGTTGCAAATATTCTGTAGATCTCACAGGAAAGGAAAGACCACTCAGTACAACCAAGGTCAATAGACAGTAGAGAATTAAGTAACTTCTCCTAGAAAACAGTACAGGGATGACAAATGGGCTAACCGGGGGAAACTGTCTCCTCACCTCAGCCAAAAGTCTTCATAATTCTGGCCAAGCAAAATACGATTATACCTATAAGAGAGTTGTTTCAGTATCTTTTCCCTTTCTTCAAATTATATTCTGTATTGTAACTACCTATTTCTGACAAACCATTTTATATTTAGTGTGTATGGGGGCAGAGTGTGCAGTAACCTGCCTTGGTTCTTTTTTTTTTTTTTTTTAGTTTACATTTAAAATTATCTGTGATCAGACTCCATGGAACTACAATGGACCCTGAAAGAGAAGACCACGCATCAGCCAGAAATCCTGGAGTAGATGACACAAGGAAAAAGAACTTTGTGGATTCTCTGTGTGAATTAAAAAAAAAAATGTGCAGGTATTTTTTGAACCATGGCAGAGACTGTAGCAGCCCTCTAATCTCTTTTTACAATGTAAGTGTGTTTAGGTGGGCAATGATCACACAACTAAAGAGTTTTTCCAACTTTTCTGCAGAAAGGAGTGGCACTGTGCCTAGGTTCTGACTATTGCAATGTAAATGTTAAAGATACAATGGGGAAAAGACAGTCTCTCCAACAAGTGGTGTTGGAAAAACTGGTCAATTGTATGTAAAAGAATGAAATTAGAACACTTTCTAACACCATACACAAAAATAAAGTCAAAATGGGTTAAAGACCTAAATGTAAGACCAGAAACTATTAAACTCTTAGAGGAAAACATAGGCAGAACACTCTCTGACATAAATCACAGCAAGATCTTATATGACCCACCTCCTAGATTAATGGAAATAAAAACAAAAATAAATAAATAGGACCTAGTTAAACTTAAAAGTTGTTGCACAATGAAGGAAACTACAAGCAAGGTGAAAGACAACCCTCAGGATGGGAGAAAACGATAGCAAACAAAACAATTGACAAAAAGTGGGCAGAAGACCTAAACAGACATTTCTCCAAAGAAGACATACAGATGATTAATAAGTACATGAAAAGATGCTCAACATCACTCATACTTAGAGAAAAGCAAATTAAAATCACAATGAGATATCATCTCATACTGGTCAGAACAGCCATCATCAAAAAGTCTACAAACAATAAATGCTGGAGAGTATGTGGAGAAAAGGGAACCCTCTTACACTGTTGATGGGAATGCAAACTGATACAATCATTATGGCGATTTCTTAAAAAACTAGGAATAAAACTACTATATGACCCAGAAACCCCACTACTGGGCATATACTCTGAGGAAAATAGAGCTGAAAAAGACACATGTACACAGTGTTCACTGAAGTACTATTACAATAGCTAGGACATGGAAGCAACCTAGATGACCATCAGCAGATAAATAGATAGGGAAGTTGTGCTACCTATACACAATGGAATATTACTCATACATAAAAACAAACACATTTGAACCAGTTCTAATGATGGATGAACCTAAAGCCTATTATAGAGAGTGAAGCAAGTCAGGAAGAGAAACACAAATATTGTATACTAATGCATATATATTGACTCTAGAAAGATGATACTGATTACCCTATGTGCAGAGTAGCAAAGGAAACACAGACATAAACAACAGACTTTTGGACTCAGAGGGAAAAGGAGAGAGTGGGATGATTTGAGAGAATGGCACTGAAACATACACATTAATATATGTAAAATAGATATCCAGTGGGAGTTTGATGTATGACACAGGGAACCCAAAGTGATGACTTCAAAGGATAGGGTAGGGAGGGACTTGGGGTAGGGGGGCAGTGTGTGGTTTAGGAGGAAGTGGACACAAGTATGCCTATGGTCATTTCATGTTTATGTATGGCAAAAACCATCACAATATTGTAAAGTAATTATAATCCAATTAAATAAATAAAATTTTAAAAAGGAGTCCTCTGGGATTTTCCCTTAACAGAAAGAGAATCTTCCCCTACCTCACTGCCTTTCCCATTTCTTCCTTCCTTGCACATAGTGATGTAATAGAGAAAATTGAGATGGAAACATTGGACCATGAGAATGAAGTCAACTGTTGAAGATGACAGAGAAATCACACAACAATCTGAAAATTACGGAGTTTTTTAACAAGTCAAAGACCATCACTTATGCAAGAAGTAAACTTTTTTTTTCATTTTATTAATTAATTTATTTATTTTAATTGGAGGCTAATTAATTTACAATATTGTGGTGGTTTTTGCCATACATTGACGTGAATCGGCCATGGGTGTACATGTGTTTCCCATCCTGACCCTCCCTCCCACCTCCCTCCCCATCCCTCAGGGTCATCCCAGTGCACCAGCCCTGAGCACCCTGCCTTATGCATTGAACCTGGACTGGATTTTTAAGGAATCTTTACACAGTTCTCCATAGTGGCTGAACTAGTTTGCATTCCCACCAACAATGTAAGAGAGTTCCCTTTTCTGTGCACTCTCTCAGAAGTAAACTATCTTTAAGTCACTACTATTTGGAGTCATTCTGATTCAGTCAACTTCAATATTCAAACTAACAAAAGAATGGACTCCAGGAAAATAAAAATAAGAATCAAAGAAAATAAGGACGTCAAAGGAGGCTCCATGAAGAATGACTTATCAGCAAAATAACTGTTACCTTTAAATTATTAAAAGTTAGAAGATAAAGATGTCTTTTGGTCAACAAAATGGTATTTCCCAGTTAATGAAATGTACATTATAGGAAATGCAATGACTTGTCTATATACAAAGAAATATTAACTAGAGAGTCCAGGAAAACCATAACACTGTAGAAACAGTTATGGTACGATTATAAAGCAACTTAACATATGACATAGCTTTGAGAAATTAGTAGAGTGAAAGAAAGAGAAAGCATTGAACTTGATGGTCTGAACATTCTCCATCAAGTAGTTTAAAGAAAAAGACCTGTATTTACTTAATTGAAAGTCTATCACCATGCTCAACTGGGCTTCCCTAGCAGCTCAGCAGTAAAGAATCCACTCGCAGTGTAGGAGACCCAGGTTCTGTCCCTGAATCAGGAAGTCCCCTGGAAGAGGGTATGGCAACCCACTCCAGTATTCTTGCGTGAAGAATCCCATGAACAAAGGAGTCTGAGGCTACAATCCAGAGAGTCACAAAGAGTCAGACACGATTGAAGTACGAGCATGCACTCATAATTATGTCATTTATAATATTTACAATAACCATGATACTGATTTGTAAATATATTTGAGTGGTATCATAACCAATCTTTTAAGCATGCTGGTAGCTATATATGAATGCTACATATGAATTTCCTTCACTTATAAGGTGTTGAGTTTTAGGGAGTTTTCTAAAATCTCTTCTATACATCAGGTTTCTCATTTATAAAATGGAGTTTTAAGAATAGAACCCCATTTATAAAGTAGAGTTCTAAAATTAGGACTGTTCTCCCAGGGTTGGTTTGATCACAAATTGAGATCATTTATCTCCTATACTTAGTACTTAGCACAGTGCCTAACACAAAATAAGCCATAATTGTCAGCTCTAAGTAGTGTTCAATACTATTCAATATATAGAATTGATCTTTAGATAAAGCAATGTATTAATAGACTGTTATAGTACCAATGTTAGAGGCTTTAATGATGTTAGAGCAAAAATAAATCAGAAAGTAAAAGAAGTACAGCAATGCTACTTTCCTTACATTTGAGAATAAGGAACGGATGAACATGGTCAATATGCAGATGACACCAACCTTATGGCAGAAAGTGAAGAAGATCTAAAGAGCCTCTTGATGAAAGTGAAAGAGGAGAGTGAAAAAGTTGGCTTAAAGCTCAACACTCAGAAAACTAAGATCATGGCATCTGGTCCCATCACTTCATGGCAAATAGATGGTGAAACAGTGGCTGACTTTATTTTTCTGGGCTCCAAAATCACTGCAGATGGTGACTGCAGCCATGAAATTAAAAGACAC